TACCTCAACCAGATGTATTGAGGAAGACGGGGTTTTGTAGTATGTGCCTTTGGAAGAGTTCATCTTCTGTTGTTATTTCTTGAGTAGCTCCTCGTATTTAGACGCTTTGTCTGCCAGTTCTGTCAGATCTCCAAACAGCATCCCATCAAATCTTTTTCTCAGAGATATTTTAAGGGTAATTTGAGCCATTTGAATGAAGTGTCTTTCTTCCATAGGGATCCGGCATTTCATTTTGAGCTTTCTAAACCTGGTTATGAAATCCTGGGCAGGTTCATCTTCAGTATGTTTGAGGGCTACAAGATCACTAATGGTGACTTCTGGCTGGATCCTAAAATAATAGTCATGGAAGACATTTTCCATCTATTCCCAGGTTTGAACAAAATTGGCTGGTAAGCTGGTATACCAGGTGAAGGCTTGTCTAGAGATAGAGTTTCCAAAAAGCCTCAGTTTTAACAGAGGGTTATTCTCTATGGCTATGCACTAGACAGAGAACTTGCCTATATGCTCAACTGATGAAGCATGAGGATCCTCTCCGTTAAACAGGGTGAAGTTTGGTACCTTGAAACCCGAGAATAGCGGTATCTAATCAATATAGGTCGGATATGGCTTTCTGTATGTGGGTCTTTCTCCTCTTCTGGCTTCAGGCTCTATCATTTCCCTGATCATTCTCTGTATTGCCCCCATGTCATTCAAGGCATTGGCAGGATGCGGATTTTGCCCCAATTCTGGCTGGTTGTTCTCAATCCTATGCTCCATCCTGTATGGCCTGGGCAGAACTTCCTCCCTGTGTTCTTCCTCTTCTTCAAAATCTGGATGATTCCTCAAGTTTGCCCCCAAACTGTTCCTATCATTGTTGGCAAAGGGGTTAATTCCCCTTCTGCCTCTCATGCCTCTTGCTAGTGGAGGGAATGGATTGGGGTCCATCCTTCTAGGTCTGTAGGGCAACACAGCCGGTGCCTCCGGTAGAAGTGCCAAGGGCTGATCACGTAGGGCCACAGGGAGTGGAATAGGTGGAGGTTTTGGCTGATTCTAGGGGGCCTGAACTGGTGCAAGGCCTTTTGGCCGAGCTGGAACCTCATGCTCTTGGATGGGAAGGACTCATCTCCTCTGTCCAGCTTAGACTTCTCCATGCCCTAGTATTCCAACTATTTGTGCGATGAGAGGGTTCTTTTGGTATGGTCATGCCAGTCCTGGTAGAGGTCCATAAGGGAGGTCTAGCTGTTGGACCACAACATCTGGGTTTGGAATCCTGGCCATAGTAGCCTCACGGTCCTTCCTGAATTGTCTATTAACTTGTCATTGCATCATGGCTGTCATATTGTTCAGAGTATCTTGGCTCCTTTGTGATATGGCCTCCTGTCGGGACACAGTTTCCTGTATCTGATTCAACCTCCTGGAGCCAGACCTAGAACGTCTACTCCCGGTACTGCCATAGGCTGATTGCCTAACATCACTTTCTTCTGACTTCAGTCCGTCCCGGAGAGCTGCTTGATCTCTTTCCATGGCGCAGTGTGGATTCTGGCTAGAACTTCCAATATTTATATACTTTAAAAAAAAATTCTAGGAGTATGTATACTGAGAAGTCCCACCGAGCGTGCCAAATTGTTCACCCGTTTTATGTTTGTTCCTGTGATGGTAGGGCAAAGTTCCCCATTGGCTTGAAAACCATTGACTAGTCAACAAGTCAACTATCTTTAGTATGAGAGCGTGCCACTGCTAGCAATGAAAAATCCTAGCAGACTTTAAAATACATAACTTGCGTCCCAAGTTACTGATTTCTAAACAAGCGATTGTGAATTTGGGTGAGGAATATCTCCCAAGTAAGTTCTTTTCTTGCCTCAGACTGGTAAGAACTTCACAATTTTTCACAGTACAAAATTGGTAGTTCTGACCAAAATAAATGATAAGAAAGTAAACTGTTTTTAGGCGAAACTGCCTTTTACAAAACTCAAAAAGGAAAATCCAACTCTAGAAAGACAAAAAGAAGGCTGGACTTCCATTTCTGCCTGGATAGACGCTTTTGATCCAGGCTGGACTGGGTATACCTGTGTTGGATTGGACTGTCACCAACTTCAACTGCTAAGTTTCAGTTGCAAATCGATACCAACGTTAGAGTTTGGCAGAGCTTTAATCTATTTCAAGCCCTGGAAGGCTTCTTGAACAGGCAGAATTGCGGCCTCTTCATTCTGAAGGGGGCAGAAGTGGCTGGGCTTGAGGATTACTAAGCTGGAACTGCACTGTGATACATGTTTTGCTAATTCATGGCTCTCCATAAATTGGTTGAGGTTTTCATATTTGTAAAAACTCGAACTCTGCTTGATTTGGCTTTTGCTAAACCAAATTTGTAACGAGAGAAATCTCGTTTTGAATGACTTATTTCTCTGAGTTTGAATTGAAACTGAAGGTTTTGATTTGTAGCTGGCTTCTTTCTTGTGGCTCAATGAGCTTTTGATTACTTTAGTTTGTTTGAAGGTTTTTGAGATCAAGTGATCATTTTGAGTTTTTGTCTTTGATTGATTTTTTTTGGATGTGTCTTGATCTGTTCACCTCCTCTCATATTTATAGAAAATGCTAGAGTAGGATTTTTAATCTTTTAAAATGGACGGCAGATTCTCAAAAAGATCTTTCATTTTTAAATGTAAAGGAAAAAAGGGAAGTTATCTATTCTGGCAAGTAAAATATCAACAGTCAGTTCTAAGGCAATCACTTCTCTGTTTTTCTTTGAAAGAAAACCTAATCCTTTCTTTTTAATCTTTAACTGCTTTTTTGCAAGAGTTCAAAACTGTTGTGATGGTTAGTTTGATCTTCCAGATGAACAACTTCCTGCACCTTACTTATCTCTTTTTAGAAAATGTGGTCTGCTTATCCCTTGGGAACAATGCCTACCGAATTTTTCTGTATATAGAAAAGGATTTTGATCTTTTCTCTGTCTATGAAAGACTGGAGAAATCTTTCTACAAGAGTGCCTTCATTAATTCCCTATCAAATTCCTTTGAGACTAGCTGAAATTGCTAACTATTCAAGGTCAGGTAGTCACGTGGACCTCCTTGAGAATAGGTTTTCCAAAAAAATCTGCCAACTTGTTCCTGAGCTTTTTGAGAGAAATGGTAAGTTTTTGTAGAGATTGGGCCCAATTTAATTCTTTTATCGATCTGCTTAGTTGTAACCGCCATTTAATTTGGCCTTTTTTTACAATTCTGCCATTTTTCGAAAAAGTCATGGGTTTCTGACGTGGATTGGGCTTTCTCTTGGAGTTATGGCCTGGTCTTCTTTTTTTCCTGTTCCTGGGCTTCTTTGCGAAAAGTGGGCTGGCGCGTTTTAGATTTCTTTTTTGCCCAAACATATATCTTCAAAACTTTAAACCCAGTTTTGACCTGCTAGATGACCTTAAAACCTTAAAAATAGCCTTACCTCACTATAAAGAAGTGAATTCTGTTTGTTGCGTCATTTCCTATGCGGAAAGGTATTTTGGATTAAAAACGGACACTAAAAACCCCTAAAACATTATAAAACATTGAAAAAGACTTGGCACCCACAATCCAAAGACAAAAAGACAAAGCTCCAACTCGTAAATCATGGAAACTGGAACTTGGAAACTGTAACATGTGCGCAACCTTAGACTCTGTTGACTTGGTGACTGCAGAACATTTTCTTTCATGGTTCCAGAGAATGAAATAAAATTTTCCAAGTCACTACAAATAAATTAGTCCTTCTTGTTCACCCCATAATGCAAATAAAGTCCTGCATTCTTAAAAATTTTCTAAATGATCGCAGCCATGTTTAGACTGATGATTTAATCTATAGCTTACAATTTTCAAATTTCGTAGGTTCCAGTTCATCATAAAAAATGTGAGAAATTTAATATTATTTTATTTAATATTAATTTTCTATTTGAATGGAAATTAATAAAATTCATTGGGTTAAAGACATGACTCTTGGGTTATTATAATACAAATTTGGTGTTGGGTTTTTTTATAATTTCAGCCCCCATTTTGGGTGTTTTAGTGAAACTCCCTTATTATAATGACCCATCATCAATTGGGGGATGGCAACTCTTCATATGTGTCTGGAGCCCTATCATTTGGTTCAAAGTTCCTTGTGAATTGCAGTGCTTCTTTCACAAGGAGGTCACAAGGAGGGGAGTCGTTGTATCCTGAGAGGCCAATGCTAATGAACCATAAGCACTAGTGTGGGGCGTAATTCATCTTAAAGTCAGAGTGTCAGAGTGTCCAACACTTGCCTCAACTCAATTAAACTACATAGTATGAATGGGTATGTGAAATTGCCAATGTAAAGTTTAGACAAATAATCCTATGAAGTTATATGCTAGGTCCCTTAACTTTTCAATGTGGGACAATACTCAATCATCACCGGCTACTACACTTTATGGATTTTTCTTCAAAGAGCTTGGAAATAATAAACTCAAATGAAAATGATCTAAAATGGACATACTTTGATGCTTGAAGAAGTCAAAAGAAAATTGCAGCTTCCAAGTAATTACCCTGCATTACAAAACATTGAAAAAGACTTTGCACCCACAATCCAAAAACAAAAAGACGAAGGTCCAACTGTTAATCATGGAAACTGGAACTTGGAAAGTAGCAGAATTTCCAAGATTCTGAACCTTAGACTTGGGTCCCTTCTGGAACTTGTGCCCAAAACTATACGCAACCTTAGACTCAGGCCAAAACCTTAGTCTCTGTTGACTTGGACATTTCCTGGTCACCAGAAATCTGTGTGGTTTTGTGAGTGCAGAGCGCTCTCTTTTTTGTGATTCAATTAAGATACATTCATAGAATAGCAAAATAATTGACCTTCATGAATCATGTGATGGCAGTCAGTTTATCGGCCCCCCTTGAATCTTTCTCGTCAACTCTGATTGTCCATATGAACATGACTTAGTTTTCTTGGACCCTTAATATTCCACCTTTATTAATCTAATTGTTCTCAGTTTGTTTCTTCTTTAAATAGTGATTGCTTAGCCACATTGGTGTTAGAAAATGGAAATGGCTTTTACTGCACAGCTGCTTCTGCTGTCCTCATTGTTTCTACAACCAGTTCTAGTGCTTTCCCAAACTAATGGTAGCATAGCAGTTGGTGGTTCTCTTACTGCAACTGCAGAAGGAAACTCCTCCTCATCATGGCTTTCTCCATCTGGTGATTTTGCCTTTGGATTTCGGCCACTTGGAAACAATGATCTTTTCTTGCTTTCAATATGGTATGCCAAAATACCAGACAGAACCATAGTTTGGTATGCAAATAATAAGCCTGCAGTTGCACCAGCTGCACCTCTGGGATCAACTGTGAATTTGACTGCTCACAGTGGACTAGTGCTCACAAGTCCTCAAGGCAAAGAGTTATGGAAATCTGAAACCATAGTTGGTGTTGTTGCTAATGGGGTTTTCAATGATACCGGCAACTTTGTTCTTGAAGATGACAGTTCAAAGAAGTTGTGGGAGTCTTTCAAGAATCCTACTGATACTATATTGCCAGGACAGATAATTGAAACAGGAGGAAGCCTTGCTTCTCGACAATCGGAGACTAACTATTCCAAAGGACGGTTCCAGCTACGGTTGCAGCAAGACGGGAACCTTGTGCTCAACTCCATAAACTTCACAACAGGGTCTACTAACACACCGTATTATGGAAGCGCCACTACCACAGGGACAGTGCCAGGAAGTGAAGGTAAACAGTTGGTTTTCAATGACTCAGGCTACTTGTATGTCCTGAGAGAGAATGGTGGAAAATACACTCTCACATGGGGAAATAGGGTCTCAGCAATGGCCTATTATACTAGAGCAACTCTCAACTTTGATGGGGTTTTTGCTCAGTATGTTCACCCAAAGACTTTTTCTGGCAATGCAAGCTGGGAACCTCTTTGGTCACTGCCAGAAAATATTTGCCTGGATATTGATGCTGATTCAGGTCCTGGGGTTTGTGGGTTCAACAGTATCTGCGCACTCAGTGCAGCAGATAAGAGGCCAAAATGTGAATGCCCAAGAGGGTTCTCTTTGCTTGATCCAAATGACCTATATGGAAGCTGCAAACCCAATTTCATACAAAGCTGTGAAGAAAAAGAAGAAGAGCATCTATATGATGTTCAGATGCTAACAAATACTGATTGGTTAACCTCAGAGTATTCGCGTTTGGAGGAATTTACTGCAGACAACTGCAGTGAGTCCTGCATTCAAGATTGTTTATGTGGTGTTGCTATTTACAGCAATCAAACCTGTTGGAAAAAGGAGTTGCCCCTCTCAAATGGGAGAGTGGATAGCAGTCTACGTGCAACGACCTTCATCAAATTCAGGAAGGACAATTCAACTCTACCAGTCCCTCCATCGCCAAGTCCAGATGATAAGAAGAATAACAAGACCACCTTCACGGGTATACGACCGGTGATTTTGGCTACCGCTCTCTTGGTTTGTCTTGTGTTAATTGCTGCTGCATTTTCTCTTGGACTGTTCTTTACTTTTCAGAAAAAACAGGTCAGGATTATGCAAAGTGGTTTGAACATAAGTTTGCGTCCTTTCAGTTACCAAGAGCTTCAGGAAGCTACAAATGGATTCACGGAAGAATTAGGAAGGGGTTCTTTTGGGGTAGTTTACAAAGGAATAATACAAAATGGTTCTCAAGTCCAAGTGGCAGTGAAGAAGCTACACTGCGTGATACAAGATGGTGATAAGGAATTCAAGACAGAAGTGAATGTAATTGGGAAGACACATCACAAGAATCTGGTACGTCTGCTTGGATATTGTGATGAGGGACAACAACGTTTACTAGTATATGAACTCTTGAGCAATGGCACATTAGCAAGCTTCCTTTTTGCTGATGTCAAACCAAGTTGGGGGCAACGAATCGAAATTGCTTATGGAATTGCCAAAGGACTTGAGTACTTGCATGAAGAGTGCAGCACCCCAATCATCCATTGCGATATAAAGCCTCAGAACATACTTCTTGACGATTATTACACTGCCCGGATCGCTGATTTTGGATTGGCAAAGCTTTTGATGATGAATCAGAGCCACACTCATACTGCCATCCGAGGAACAAAAGGGTATGTTGCACCCGAGTGGTTTAGGAACATGCCAATCACTACCAAAGTTGATGTGTATAGCTTTGGTGTTGTACTACTAGAGATCATCTGCTGTAGGAGAAGCGTCGATGTGGAAAATAGCTGCGAAGGGAAAGCGATTTTAACCAATTGGGTTTATGATTGCTACCAAGAAGGAAAAATAGATGCTGTTCTAGATCACGAAACTGAGGCTTTGCATGATAAAAAGAATCTGGAAAAGATTGTGATGGTTGCTATTTGGTGCATCCAAGAAGACCCGGCTCTTCGGCCGACTATGAGGAAGGTTGTGCAGATGCTTGAAGGAGTAGTGGAAGTGCATGCTCCACCATGTCCTTCCTCATACACCAGAGCAGCCTGAAACGAGCTTTCTTATCTTTGTATCAAAGCCAAAGCTATCCCAAAAACTATCAAGGTCATTTCAAGCTTTTCCCCCATCACTGCATGTGTTCTCTGCATCTGAATTTTCAGAGAAAACCTCTCATCTTGTTCCTTTTGCCTTTTTATATGTATCTAAGATTTCGTAAGAAAATTTGCAATTGTATTTGTCTAGCCAAATCCCAATTTGATTTGCAATGGAATTGGGTTTCTGTAGATCTTTCTTTTTTGAAGAACATAGAATTGCAATTGCAACCTGAAACCACACAACAATTTTATATATAATCAACTGCAAATATTCATTTCCAAAAGCAAAGAGATATACAACTTCACGCCCAGCGCAAATTCATGACCAATAGGAACCACATTTCTTAACATAATCATAAATAAACCCTAACCCTAAACGCACTACATATTACCAAAAGCAAAACAACAGATTTGGGGATTAAGCCCTCTCGCCTCTGATCCTACGAGCGAGCTGAATGTCCTTGGGCATAATGGTGACCCTCTTAGCGTGAATGGCGCAGAGGTTGGTGTCCTCAAACAGACCCACCAAGTAGGCCTCCGCCGCCTCTTGCAGCGCCGCCACGGCGCTGCTCTGGAACCGGAGATCGGTCTTGAAGTCCTGAGCAATCTCTCTCACTAGCCTCTGAAACGGAAGCTTGCGGATCAAGAGCTCAGTGCTCTTCTGATACTTTCTGATCTCCCTCAGGGCCACAGTTCCTGGCCTGAAACGGTGAGGCTTCTTCACCCCTCCGGTCGCCGGAGCTGACTTCCGGGCAGCCTTTGTGGCCAGCTGCTTGCGTGGAGCCTTGCCTCCGGTGGATTTACGAGCAGTCTGCTTGGTACGGGCCATTTGCTCAGATGTGAAAGAATGGAGGATTTGGGTGTTTGGTTAGTGGGAAATTGAGAGAAGTACTATATGAACTTGTGATTTGGGGAAGTTTTGTTGGATTTTATTTATAGAGTGAGTAAGCGGGGAGTTTGAAATTTTTGGTGAAATTTTTTTAAAATTTTGGATGAGTAAAGATTGAGCGTTGATACGTATTTGATCGACGGCACATATTCTTTGTTGTGTGTGGAGGGGATAGCAATCCGCGTGCTGTTCAAGTGGACCAATAGAATTGGTTTGTTATAGCGGCAATGATATATTTCACTCCCCCTATCAATTTTTTAAGTTCCCGGCTCAATGAAAGTTGGGCTTCCTTTCAAAAATAAATACATTTGGGCTTTCTTCCAATTGAAAATTCGAAATTTGGCTTCTTTTAAAATGAAATTGACTAGACCCAAATTTGTAAAGGGCTTAAGGAGATGGATTCAATTGAACATGTGCGGTTACAATTTTACCCAAACCAGGGGGAAGGAAAATATTTGGTTACTATTCTGAACCAGATTAGTTTCTTCTTTTCTCTTTAATCATACATTGTCAAAACATGATTGTAATTACTTGTTGATGGCTACTTTATCATGATTATATCCTTTTCCACACTGAACGAGATCGACCGCGTAAATACTTCTCCTCCACTACTGATTATTATATCAACATTTTACGTGATGTTACCGTCGCATGTAATAATCCCTCATTTCATTTTAGTTTCCTTCCATCTCCGAAAGACCAAAAAACAAGAAGCTTCCTCCTCCACAACTTTTCTTCTCTTACTTTTTGAAGCAACCTCACTGGCTTAACAAATGGAAAGTTCCTTAGAAAGATCTGAGAGCTTCCACACTTTTCAAGTTAGCCTCTTTGTACTGAATTAGTGGAGTAAATGTTGAATTAATGTAACATAAATATATATTATTTCATGTTAAACATATATAGGAGAGGCTAATCGGTATTTAGTAGGACATTGACATGTCGCTTTAGAAGCAAAAAAGAAGCAGAAAGTTGCCCAATTAAGCTACCAAATTAACCAACTTTATAGAAAAAGGGCTGAAAAGTTGGTAAAACTCTGAAGAAATTGTGCTGACCTTTTAGATCACTTTTATCATAATAAGCAGACAAGAGTGTCTAATTCAGGGGTCAATATTCAAGGATTAAGACTATGACATAATTGACATTTTGTTTTACTAAGCTTAACTAATCTAATCTACCACTTAATTAGCACATGAATCATAATTGACATTTTTGCATATGACCCTAATGAAACACAAGGGCTGCTACCTGCCCTATCTACCCTGTACTAACTGAATACTAAGTCAATTTTTCCCCTAAAATAGAGTGTTTTTATTTCCACCCCGTTTTATTTCCTCACTCACCATGTAAATTTGGAAAAACACAATTCTATCTTTCCACTCACCATTATTCCTAAAATACTCTTTAATTATTAATTCTAGTAAATTATCTTTTCTAATCATTAATAGTTGAGATATTGAGAGGATCAAGTTGTGTTTGACGGACTGAAAAAAGTTTCAAATTTTGGAAAAGACAATGCTTACTTTAGTATATATAGGAGAACCCACAAGAGCGCTAAAAAGATTCAATTTAGAAACATGCTGACAGGTCAGATTAATTCTTAATCATTTCCTTAACCTAAAGTAATTAAGGTGATTTGATTGCAAAGCTAAGTGGTAGCAGGCAGTAATGCCCCATCAACTTGTATGAAAACAATGAACGATATTGACAAGGCAATCAAAATCAACTATAAGGCATGCATGACGACAGCCATATAGACAAATAAGAAAAAGTGTATAAATATTATATAAACATTATAAGAAGAAAAAGAAACAAAACAACAAGCGCAAACGTAGCTTAATTTGTTTCACAAGAACTACAACAACAGAAAGAACAACGTGGATCCCCACAAAGAATATTAATAATAAATACGATACATATATACATAGTGTGGTTGCTAACTTGCTATAACGTTATTGTTTAATTATAATTTAATTCATATAAACTAACTAATGGGGTGTTCGTTGGATTGGTCGAGGTCTTTGATGTACTCTTAAGTGGTCCTGAGTTCAAATCGTGTGTGTGAGTTTTCTACTCTCCCTCTTTGGGAAAAAGAAATATTCATATAAATATATAAGGCTTGGTTTTATAAAGTATTGGTGTATGATCAAATTAAGAAAAAAACAATTAAGGTGATATACTCGAATCCGCTTTTACTAGGATCAAACAACCAAAACCGGACAAAATCCAAGCATCATACGAGGAGGCGGCCTGCTGCTTGCTT